CAGGGTACCTGATCCCACAGCGCTCGCTACTGACCCCCATCACTTCCATTACAGAGCTCCATTTTTCAATCAGGAGGGTGCTAAATGTGCGCCTGTTAAATGTGTTTCACAGAGCCTGTGTAACAGGCATATTAGCAAGCATTGGGCAGAGCGACGAGGCTCTTCTGTCTCCATTCCACTGCCCCCGCTTCATTAAAACCATAAATCTAGATGTCGAAGGAAACCTGGCAGCCAGAGACTGTCTCCTGTCAACCACACTAAAGAGACCTTGTCCTCCAACAAGTCACATAACATGAGCTCCTTTTGTAACCTATGTATTTGGGCTTTTTGTTGTTGTTTTTTTTATTTGTATTTGTGTTTTGGGGCATTTGCTATTCAAAACAGGTTTTATCCAATGAGTGTGAACAAAAACTTGCGATATTTAAATTCTCAGTTAGCCAAGTCCTGAGTTGTTAACGTAAAGCCTATTGAGATAGAATTCCAGTGTTTTTTTTTTTTCAAAATGAAATAAAAAAAAAATACTCTTTACAGCTGAAGTTATCGGTTTTTCTTGAGTTCTAATTTAGATTTTACAGAAAATGGTCATTTTAACTTAAATGAAGTGAAAAATATGTAGAATTCCTAAATTATGTACGCATATTGACCTCGTAAGAGAAAAATCTCTTGACATATTTGAATCCCTTGCCCTGATTATTTCATGCTTTTCTGTGCCCCCATGAAAACATGCTGGCCCCCTCCTGGCCCCCTGGTACATTTGGTCTGGAACCGCCACTGTTACCAAGTACTGTAGCTATACCAATATGTGTTTCTGTTAGGGCTCCAATAAAAAATTATTTTGTTAATTGATTAATCTGTCAATTATTCTTTCAATTATTCGATTAATGATATCAATGTATATCAAAAGCTTCCTTGAAGAAGACTTTTTACGAATTAAAACCAGGTGAAACTCGTAACTTTAGCACTTGTGGAATTCTGGATAGAACAGAGTCATTTTTTTATGTTAAATGCAAAATGTTTATTTATTCATTTATTTTTTTACGATATTGATATAATTACTGCTCCAAGTGGGTTGCTCTATCAGCTAAAGGCATGTTTTACAGTCTCTATACTACATTTAACAATTAATCGATTACTAAATTAGTTGACAATTATTTCAATAATTGATCAATCGTGATTCATTGTTTCGGCCCTAGTTTTTATTATGATGCACTAAGTTTGCTCGACTCTCTGTATCCATGCTTGAAACTCCTAAACTATTGCTTTAAGAAGTAAACTAATAAAGATGCAATAAACCCTGAATATCAGTATGCAGGGCTGGCTAGCTAACAACTAGAAGAAAAGTTTTAAAGAAACTCACAACTTCAATACAATAGTTTTCATTTAGCTGTTTGAGGGTGCATTTTAGGTGCCCGTTGTGATGGGATGACATTTTGTAAAATATTAAAATCAGCTCAAAGCTGCTGCAATATAAGGTTATTTATTTAAATGAGTTATTAATATACATGGAATAAGTCATTTGACACTGTATTATTGCCCATTTTGATATTGCAATGATGTGTGATTGAATATTTTTTTGAAGTTCTAATTTCCACATGGACACAAAACTTATAAAGCAGAATTTAGGCATATATCTCAAAGTCAAGTCACTTCAAGGAAAATAAAGGTGAATTTTTAACCTCCTCTCCAAATCAATACCAGCCTTGTTGTTTCCTTCTCTCACTCCTGAGGGAAATAAGAGCAACTAAACGTTCCTCTACCGTCTTGTGTCGACTAACTGATCTGAACAATAAGGGGTCAAGCTGTTTAAACAGATCTAACCAGAAAAGCCTCAAAGGAATTTCAACACTATTAGCAAATATTAATAGTATTATTGCGTCTAAAATTACTATATAAACTATAAAACAACATCAGCTACATTCAACTCTTCTAGCTGAAGTGCAAGAAATCGAATTGTGTAGCTTAGACTCTTGCAGTGCAGCAGGTAGCAAACATTAAGCATGGTATCCCAGACTCTGTGCTTCTCTCCACTCTGCCCGACTGCTTTTACAAGCCTCAAGATAACCTGGTTGGCTAGAAGGCAGCTAATAGAAAATATGGGATGGGAAAATGACTGAAGCTCAACTAATCACACTGCCAATAACCATCACAGGGCAGGAGGGAGTCATGAGATATAAAGGAGGGGGAGCACAGACAAATAAATGAAATGGAGAGCAGGATGTAACAAGGGAGCTAATGAAGAAGAAGGGTGGGAAGGAGAGAAGAGGAGCGGGAGTCCGGGGTATTCTGGACATCACAGATCCACTGATAGCTTTGTGATTGGGTGATGCTGCTGATGAGAGTGATTCTCTGCCACAGTGGGTTACCCTCCACCTGATGGCATTGTGATTGTGTGCTGCGCGGCAGAGTGTGTGCAGCCCCGCCGCTGGCTGTGACCATTCATCCCCAAATCTCTGGGGGACGTGAAGGTGCTTCCTAATCCTTGCAGAGTTCCTCCAAAAAAATCACGTTTCTGATGGATCCCCATTTACAGCTCTAGGTTTTGTTCACCAAGATAGAAGCAATATAGGTAGACAAGACAAGAACAGCAGTAATAACCAAAAAAATATATGAGGGGGGAATTATTGGCTTTAGAATTTGAGCTTTAGATCCTTCATTAGGACATGTGCAAAAAAAAAAAAAAGAACTTTCACAACAAAAGACCTAAGGTGAAGATATATTGCAGCCGTAGAGAAGCATTGCATTTCTACTCAAATTTTGTGCATTTCATGAACGTTTAATCACAACAAAGAAATAATCTGCATGCATAGCTTACCTACTCCCCACAACGTGCCTCTCTGGTTAAAAGGGTGCATATATTGGTAAAGTTTCAACTCCCTGAAACATACTTTTTAGTGACAAGTCCGCTAAAGCAAAGCTGGTCTGAATATTTCCCCCCAGGTAGCTCTCTGAGCAGAAAGGGTTTGCAAAAAATTAAAACTTTGCATGGCTCGGTCAGCTCTATCAAGGTATTTTCAGAGAACTAAAGGGATGTATCATACCATTACTAGTATGAAGTCTATAATTAGGGCTCAAAAAAGTGTTGGAGAGGTACATTATTTCTTTAATGGCCTTGCTTTTACATACTGTGCTCACTGCTGGGCAACTACCTGAAGAAAGGCTTCTGCACTTAGTCTCTTGGTATAACCACAAGAATAAGAAATTCTTTAGACTGGAAATGGGTTTTTTTTTTGGGTTATACAATAGGGACAGTGTTGGTATGAAAACTAAAAGCACCACAGATAACCAATGCAGTTATAAAACTACTTCTGACAGGCCACAACGTATTCACTGGCAAATGAAGCACTGCTACCAGAGCAGGTAGCATGACTAACAACCCAACAATGTTCCATTAGGAGAAAACAGCAACAAGGTATAATATATTACTGATTAGTTTAGCAGATAAAAACTGTGTAAAACCATTGTTTTACAATTAAACCATTTTACATATTTCCCAATCGTAAAAATATTTGGACATTAGAAAACCTTGACACACACACTCAAAGTCACCCTACTATGCAAATTTAATAACAACCTATGGTTACTCTTACCTCAAGAGTAACCATTTTTTTCTTTAAATGTAGTTAGAAACTCATGCTCAGCATACAACCTAATCTTATTCTTTGAAGTCTGTGAATCATCCATGAACTCTTAATGGGATTTGCCTCACAGTCCTCTCAATGCTGCATGTGCATGCACAGCTCTACCTTCCACTAAACTTTCCAATATGCTGCTTGTACACATTTTTCTGAACATCTACCTACTTTAGCAAATCCTTGTTTGGCTTAGCCTCCATGTGAAGAGTATCAATAACCATCTACTTGATAGCCTTTGAGTTGGATGTAATCATTTTCTGAGCCATAACGGTTTGTTTGGTTCAGGTCAGCTAAATTCATGAACGTTTCCATTTGGTTTCCTGCAGACCAAATCTTAAAAAGAAAAACTGAGAAGCAAAGACTTATCATTGCTCGAGTTCATTCTGTTATGCCTATCACACTCCTTCCACTCAGTTGTATAATATCAGATCACAATACTCTAAACAGACATCTTCTTTAACTTGTCCTTTTAGTCATTTGTAGAGAGGGTCAGTAACCTGCAAGGCCACTAGCCATAGTGTCCATTAAAAAAAAAGGCTTTTGCCTTTTGGCTTCCCTGGCAGTTATGCATATAAATGAACAGGTATGAACATTTGCAATTTAATTGCAAATTGTGAAGCCAATCTAGGAAAAATGTCAACATTTTTAATTAGAAGTCGACTGTAGTAGTGAGAGTCTCTAAACAAGCCTGTAAGACAATGTTTAATGTGTTTTTGTGCCTAAACCGTCAGGTTACACACTTCAACCCCTCAATTAGACCACCCTGAAACACCCGGATATGCAGCTGAGCCTCACTCTGCCATCCTAATGGCCCCAATCAACACATTACACACATCTTTGCATCATTTAACCAATGCACAAAAGCACTTAAGACCTTAATGAACACCTGTGCTGTGAGAATGTTATCTGTTGTCATTAATCACAACAAACATTTAAAGAGAAACCCATATTTCTGACTGTGTTCAAATATCATAATAAGTAACTGCAGTGTGGTTATTATGGAAAGATAAGAGGCTGCACTAGGAAGGGAAGAGCAGATAAACGGGTCTTAGGTGAACCCTGATTTCCACTGTATCAACCTGGCTTTTCGAAACTCAACCAGCCTTACAGCCTTTAGGCTTTACGCAATCAAACCTGCTTTACGCTCCTCTTTAATTAAGCCCACATGGACGCGATCAGCTGCATAGCTGAGATTCTTTTAAACAAACTAAGCTCCAAGTCATGCTTCAGGAGCTCAGAGTTGTGCAACAGTGTGGCTGGGGCAAGTTCAGACCGGCTGGGTTTGTTTTACGCAAAGGCTGGACGACAGAATGAGCCAGATCTGATCTGATTTGATCTACTACTGCTCTAGATCGGATAGATTCTCACCTTGTGTTTGTGGAGTTCCAGTGAACCACGTGTCTCTTTGCCACAACAGAGATGATATTGAGGAGGAAAACTGCTGCTTTCCATGCGCCCGCAGGTACCGGTGCTCCAAAGCAAACCATCCTGGAGAGGCTGTTCTTCCTGCAGGCGGTGCAGAGGGAGGAGGTCAGGTTGGCAGACCTGACAGAGAACTTTGCCGATCAGCTGTTTCAGTTGCACTTTAAAGTTTCACCAACTCATGCACGGTGCCGCATCTGCACAATACCAGCTACTGTTCCCGTTTGGCATGATGCCCCACTCAACACCTGTTCAAATCTTGCAGAAAAAAGACGAAACTAAAAAAATAAAAAAAATAAATCAGAGGTAATAAAAACGCAAGGTGAGACTCCACATAAGAAAATAATGCTCCTGAGAATTTGCTCACAGCCAGAATGTTATTTTAAAGTAGAAATCTCTTCAAAGGAAGACATCACCTGAGTTTGAAAGGCTTTCTAATCAATTAAATCCAATATAGAAGCTGCCAACGGGTTTGGCAGAAACAGGCGGATGCACCAAGCTGAGGGCGGGGCTGGGGAAACTTCTGGCCAATCGGCTCCTAAGGGTGTGGTTTTGTTTGACACTAGAGTGCAACAGTTAAATCCTTGAGAGGTGCGCCCACTGGTGTGGGGGCACCGCCTGCAACTGCTTCTTTATTACAGTAAAACCCAACATCAATTAGTTTGACCTTTTTACATAGCAAAGACGGATTGTACGAAACCAGGTCCCAGGGCAGAGGGATGATAAATGTCCCCGTCTTTATGGAGAAAAAACTAACATAAAAAACTAAAGGTGCTATATACAAATACATTTCTGAGTGCAATATCTCCAGCTTTTCCTTTAATGCATTTTTTATGAGATGCAGGAGAATAAAGTAACAGGTTGTTGCTGAACTTTTTCATGCATTATTATCACAATGGCCTAAAACTATATGAGAAGGAACAAATTAGGTCCTAACTGATGGGTTCGTTCACAACATCTTAGTTAATTGGAGAACATTATTTTCTTAGCTGAGATGACATCAAGGCCAAACAGATTTAGAAAGGATATCAGAAAGAGAAATAAAGACTTCACTTGTTCATTATTGGGTATGATATCCCAATACCTCAAAGAGCCATGTTCATCAGTAAAATAAATTAAAGTGAATTGATAAAGGGAATATCCAGCCATCACATTGCTTAAAAAGAAGATATATAATTCCCATATAATTTCCATCATCCCAAAGGATGATGTGCTATTATGCAAAATGTGTGCATCTGCCCCAGCGTAATAGCAGAGAGCTTGTGAATGTGTTGGTTAGCTGCAAAAATGCCATTATCTTTAATGAAACAAGTCATTTACAAGTATAGGCCTAATGGCACTTAATGAGGAAGAAACAATTAATTTAGTAAATCTTGAAGCATCAATAAGAAAAAAAATTGACTGGGAATTCAACAAAGGTCTTTTTTTTTGCCGAAATGTGCTGTAGTTTGATGAAACCATAGCCATCTTTGTTAGATCTGGAAAATAAGGGAGGAAGTTTACAAGTGTGGGACACCCCCCATCTGGGAAGTGCCGGAGTGACACCATCATGTTGTTTGGCTCTTTTGTAGGGTATACAGTTTAGAAAGTAAATGACATTCTTAGGACCGGATATTATGCCGACATTTTGAAGGACCATCTCAATTTAAAAGGTAAAAAATAAAAAATTCGGCAAGAAATGCTTTTTCAATGGGCGATGAAACACAATTCTAAATCAGTTAATCACATGTTTTCAGACAGTTCTGATACATAAAAGTTCTTAGATTTTCTAGCCTTCTGACAACATTTATTTAAGGTATTTATGGCATCTAGCCACTCCAGATGTGCGTAATGTAGCATTCCTGACAGGATTATTAAAAACACCCTTTTGCACTTTATAAAACTTGTCCATGGGCAGCCCCTTAAAGTTAATAAGGTTAACCTTCTTTCCGTTGAATGTTAAGCCACTCATTTCCTTTCATACCTCTAAAAAGAACCACTGCATAAAGGAAGATGCAAGCATTAAATCTTTCTCACTTGGAAATAGCACTGGCATGCCTATTCCATGACGGATCTTGTTTTGAGAGTGACATTTAATCCAGAGGATTTAGCTTGTTGGTGTTCTGCTATGTATTAATTCTCTGGTTATTGTCAGCCTCCCCAGGGGAGGTGCTGGCCACCTTAATCACAATGTTCCTATGGGTGAAAGACACTGGTGGTCTTCTCTAATTATCTGATTTTGTAACATCTGTGCATCTGTGAGATCACTAACCCCTCCGTCTCCTGCGACTATCACTCATCCTTAAACCAGAGGCGTTGAGTTATTAGCAGCTGAAACTGAGTATTGGGCTTCAACTCCACAGGACTTCATCCTTATCTTGCTTTCTCCATCTTTCATTATGCGAGTGTGTGGCTCACTGTGTTTGTGTGTGTGGGACAAGGACTCATTAGCTTACTTCCTGGAGGTCCTGATCATTAATTTCCCATGATGCCTGCATGTTCCTATGTGGCAAATTCATCCCTGGTGAGTCTGTGCTACCTCTGCAAACACAAAGTAGACTGGAGGAGTCTTACTCTTGGCAGGGCTCTCTTTTTAAATTATTTTGATAGAACTATAGGACTAGATACTTCCTTACGAATATTTTGGAAGGACTTTTTTGTGTGATTTTTATTCTTTTTCTCAGAAAAAATATGTTTTTTTGTTATCAATTTGGGACCGTCTTGAAAATATAACAGTTAAACTATTAAGTAACCCTGCAGCTAACTCCTTATAAATTGACCCGATTTCTCTCTCCTCTTCTAAATTGGAGAGAAAAAGGCTCTCATTTACCTCAAGGGAATGACAATTGATATGTAGTCATGATGCACAAAAGTGGGAGCAAACCTGAGGAATTCTGTCTGTTCCAATGTTATTTTAGCTCAACAGAGACTGCTGTTTGAAATCATTCATTTCTTTGTTTTCCTCTTTTCTTCTTAATAGTTGCTTCAATTTTTGTATGTGTTCTATTTATCATTATCAGCGGTCTGTCCAAAACATCTTCTCTCAGTCTCGATCCATCATCCGTCCCAATCTTCACTCTCATTATCTTCTCACTGGTGGTCAAATGTGTTTTTTGTTTGCTTTTTTTTTATCCCTCTGAAGAGTTTATTATTGCAGAACTGTATTATTTTTCAGCTCTGGTCAGAAATTTATCAACAGCAATCACAGGCATGGATGGGTAATTCATTTTGGGCATGCTATCATGTGTCTCACCAATTTTCCAAAGTTTAACTATTGTAAAACATACAACTTCAGTAAGTTTTGGAAACAATAATTGCGCACTCAAATTTAAATTCATATTGAATTGTCTATTCATCCCAAAGTTCAAGGTGTAGCCTTATTTTTCCAGACGTGCTTTACCATTCTGATGTAATTCACAGTATGAGGTTGAGGTCATGGTTCTGAGCCTTTCACACAAAACCTTACCTTAGTTGGATGAAATTGTCCAAAATATCTTGATATGCAGATACATTCTAGTTCTTGTTAATCAAGCTAAATCCATCTCCTGCAAACCATTGCATCTGCACAAAACTTTAAAGTTCACACATATCAGACAGAGCACAGTTTATTTGCAACAGCAGGACACTGACTTCTAAGTGCCATTACCAGACAGAGAGGTTTGATTCATTAGTCCCAAAAAAAATAATAATAATACCACTGCCTGCCCGTAGATTTCCATTTATTACCCTGTTTATGAGCTTTCTATAGCCATCAACAAACTCTTACCTAATTGTTGTTGGACATTTTATAGGGGATAAGAGTAAATAGTTTTGGAGTAGTGGAATATTCCTCTCTTAAATGCAGTCCAATACAATCTGATTTGCAATGCAGTAAAATCATAATTTAAATCTAAAACATAATTATATTTGCAGCTACAGTATCAGTTATTCTAAAACAACCATGTGGAGACAGTGAAGAAGAACTGTTACCACAGTTACCACTGTTAACCAGCCCTGTTCCCTTTCTCTACCACTTTACATTGAAAGAATTTAGACCATTAGACCATGTGTAGGTCTGCATAGACGTAGGTCTGCCCATTAGACTATGCATTAGCTTCACCCACACATCTCAGGCAATAACAAACCAGCCTCAATATCCCCCTCAATTAGGTTTATTTAGCATTATTTAAAGAGCTCTTTTCACTTACAAAGAGCTGTAAGACAGAAAGCAACAGCAAAAGAATTGAACAATTTGATAATGAAATAAACAACCTTGGCATTTTAAAAGAAAAAGGTACAAAAATGTGTTCCTTATGGTATTAACTTTTGGAGATCGACATTTATTATAATTTTTGTACATTTATATGTTTGCTGACAACATGAAACTTGTAAATAAGCTTCCAGAAAGTTTCAGTGATGTTAAGAATTTACTGAAACTTTTGTATAATTTTTGTACAATTTGTTGGTTAAACTATATGACACGAGCCAATATGTGACTGTCGAATGCAAAGTTTAGTTTTAAAAGCATATTTTATCATGCAGTACATGAAATAGTGATCAATGCCTTTGATTAAACTCGACTGGACTACTTTAATGCAATTCTTGGTGGGTTATAAGAGCAGTTATCCAGTAAACTTCAGCTGATCTACAGTAAAATCCTGCATCCAGCCTTTCAACTACAAACCAAAAGGGTTGAAAATATCACAGCAATTCTAAAATCTCTTCTCTCGCTTCCTATCAAATAGTTAATTTTAATAGTTTAATGGTTCATAAAACTTTAAACGGCCTAATCCTCTCCTATATTTGATAATAACTTTGATTATATATCCTGCACAGGTATTCTGGTCACATCTAAAAAATTATTACAGTGCAGAAACTTGTGCCATAAGAAACTGAGTTTGAATTGCCCAGACTGAATCTATATATGCAAAGTTCAAAATTATATGTATTGTTTAATATTTTCAAACTGAATTAATTTGTACATTATTGCATGGAAAATTTTGTTTGACCGATTTAATTTTCAGTTCTAGAACCAATTTTAATTATAAATTTCAGAATTTCTTTCTTGCCACACATTGGGTCCTTATTGGAGACCAAAAATAATTCACAGAATTTTTTTTTATATCTCAGGTCTTAAGACCTGTTTTAATTTAGTTAAATTTTCGTTCAAACAGACATTTGTTATTTTTTGCATTCAGTCTTTCTATGAGACTTTCCTCTGCATTTTTCTCTCATGACCAGAGCCAGAGAAAGACATTCATGTTTTTATTGCGTGCACAGTGACACTCTGGGCTGCATTCAAATGCAACCAAATTTTTTATTATGAAATCAAACTTATTGCAGCAATAGTGCTGAAAATGTTCTTGTGTTGGTTGCCATGCTCTTAGGTTAGGTGCTCTTCAGTTACAGTAACACTGTAACTACTGTTCTTTGATGTGTTCAGGTCTTCAGGAAGATTATAGATGATAATCTGTGTTCGATACATTTCATTCTGTATTTTCCTG